GTAAAACGGCCTTGCCTTTAAGCTGTGAAAGCACTCTGATTCATCTAGTGGTGACTGCGCTAAGTTAATAATGACTTTAGAAAAGAAAGCAGCTTCTTGAGGGGTTTTTCGTAACAGGGTTTCTCTGTGTTGCCCTGGATGTCCTGGATCTCGATCTGTAGACTAGGGTGGACTTAAAGTCAGAGATCCGCCTGCCTCTGCCTCCCCTTAAAGACGTGCACCACCACTGCCCGACTAAAAGAGGCTACTTCTAAAGGATTCTCATCAGATCTTTTTCTCATCCTGGCCTTTCCCTCAGAAACTTTGAATCCCTTAAAAACTGTCTGCCTAAAGTACAAGTGCAGAGTGATGTAAATGAGATTTATCAGTGTTTCTTTTTTTTTTTTAAAGATTTATTTATCATATATGCAGAGGGCACCAGATCTCATTACAGATGGTTGGGAGCCACCATGTGGTTGCTGGGAATTGAACTCAGGACCTCTGGAAGATCAACTGATGCTCTTAACCTCTGAGCCATCTCTCCAGCCCCCCCCCAACCTTTTTTTTGGTGTTTCTTTTGATTAAAACTTCATCAGCTTACCTACTTTTACTAGGATGGGGCTAAGAATTTCACTAACACCTGGAGAAAGAAAGCACTACCTCCTCCATGGAGACAGAAGCCAAAGGAGCTTATGTCAGTATGCTCCAAGAGGGGGTGAGAGAAGAGTCATGTCCTGGAACCTGCTTCCAGTTAATTCCGTGTGCTCCCGTTTGTGAGCAGTGTTGTCAGCCTCATAATCAAAGGGTCCTGAGCAGGTCTTTCTGCTGCTCTGGCCTGCCTTGTGTAGCAACGTTTCCTTTCCTTGCACTTCTTCTCAAAGGGGCCGATGAGTATATCCTTTGGGAGGACGTGTAGTGCATGCTTAATGGTCTTTACTATCACTTCCTGTTCTGAAAGGCTGGGACCTGGGGCACAGGTTAGTGGAATAGTCTGGAGTTCTTACATGTCATGCTCCCCTGATTGGTTTTCAAGGAAGTTCATCAGTGCTGAGGAATTCTGTTAAGAAATAGTGACCTAATGGTGGCGCACGCCTTTAATCCCAGCACTTGGGAGGCAGAGGCAGGCAGATCTCTGTGAGTTTGAGGCCAGCCTGGTCTACAGAGTGAGTTCCAGGAAAGGTGCAAAGCTACACAGAGAAACCCTGTCTCAAAAAAAAAAAAAAAAAAAAAAAAAAGAGAGAGAAATAGTGACCTAATTATAGAGAACCAGAAAGCCAGTGACGTAACTTTAGACTTGAGGAGGACATAGGAGAGTCCATGCCGTAACAAAGGGAGTCTTGTTGAAGGATTGCATGGGAGTACCATCGGGTTGATACAGACGGCAAGAAGCCTGAGGCAGAAATGCAGTTGAGCTCTTGAAGTCTTTGCATATACCAAGAGCTGTGGCTCAAGTGATGAGTAACTGGAGGGGCTGGAGAGAGGGCTCAGTGGTTAAGAGTGCTTACTGCTCTTCCAGAGGACCGGAGTTCGGTTCCCAGCACCACACTGGATAGCTCACAACTGCCTATAACTCCAGCTTCAGGAGATCTGATGCCTTCCTTTGGCCTCCTTAGGTACCCACAGACATGGCACATGCACACACATGCACATAAATATTTTTTAAGTGACTTGATAAGAAAAAGTGATGGCAGGAATAAAACTGTGGAGCCAGACTTGAGGCATACTGGCGATTTCAGGCAGAGGGGTTATGAAAATGTTGGTAGATTTGTAAAGTAGGGAGAGATGCAATGTTGGGGACATAGGAATTAGCCGAGAGTATATTATTACATTTATTCATCACTCTGTCCGTCTGTCTGTCCTGTCCACGGGCCATGGCACATATGTGGAGGTCAGAGACAATGCACAGGAGTTGGCTCTCGCCTTCCGTCATATGCAGTTGCTGTCAGCAGGCCTAGCCACAAGCAGTTTACACACTGAGCCATCCCCCTGGCTCAGCATTTGATTTTAAACAGTTTTATGGCTCTGTGGATTTCCACAGTGATGTTAAAAATGTGCTCCTGGACCATGAGATGGTCAGCGTTGAGAGTTTAGGCTCAGGAGAGCTGACTAGAGGGGTGATGGCGAGCCTGTCGGTGTCATGGGTGTCACTGCTGGGCCTGGCTTCAACATCGCCAACAGTGGACAAACACAGGTGGCCTGCATTTTGATCATCTGTAGCTTTAACATCAGACACAAGGGCAGGTCTCCTCTCTGAAAATGAGGTATGATGTGTCATGGGAGACAAATTACAGTTTAATTCACTTCCTTTTAGAAAGACCAGAACTTAGGAAGAAGTAAGATTCCTGGAGCTGCTGTAATGAAGTGTGGATATGGAAAATTAGAACGGAAAGGAAAAAACATTCCCAACATAAATCTTACTGCGAGAGCAGCTTCTTCTCTGCACCCACCTTTTCGTTTATCTCCGACCAGAGGGCAGTGGAGAAGACATGGGGGAGGTGGACATCTCTTCAGGTCACTGGCTTCCTGCCGCAGTCTGATGAGCACCTCAGTTCCCTGGTTAAATAGAGTGTACCACCTTTCAGCTCAGCGTGGCCGTGAGGGTCAGCGTTAGGATTAGCTTCTTCCTTTTACATTTTATGTTTTCTAATAAAGGACCCAAAACAGAAGACGATCTATGACGTGTTCCAGCAGTCCTTCGAAGAAGATGGAAATGACATGGAACTTCTGGAGGCAGCAGAGTCCTTTGACCCAGGAAGTACTTCAGGAACCTCTGGAAGTAGTTCCCAGGATCTGGGAGACTTCTTGGATGAAAACTCCTTGACAGACAGTCCACCAAAGAAAAGGAGATTTGAATTTTTTGATAATTGGGACAGCTTTACCTTTTAAAAGCGTCAAAGAAAAAAATGAAAGGAAGCATTCAAAAATCATGGGATTCATTGAAATAAAGTATTTTGTTTAAAAGCTTGTGTTCCTTTTGTCGGGCAGTAGAAGAGCCCAAGGCCAGTAGGTACCAGCATTTCCCTTCCTGTGTTCTTGATGGCCTGCTTGGAGGCTTAATTACTTTTAGCTTTTCTGAATTAGGAAAGGTGACAGTGGCTTAGAGTGTTGTGAGGTATTCACCAGAGAAGACTGCTTGGACATGGCCAGTAGAAAGTCTTTATTAGCCAGGCTGCCGCTACACTGGGTGCTCTCAGTGTGGCCTGAGCCTTTCTGAGGATGAGCTTTTAAGCACAAAAAGCCATGTTCTGGGCTGATACACTACAGTTAACAAGGACTGTTAGCCAGAAGGGGAACTATAGAAGCTAAAAACGAAGATTGGTACATTTAGAGGCTTTCCCAGAACTCTGTGGACTGATGGATTAGGCCTTTGTTTTAGTTTTGGCAGGTGGTATTATCTACATGCTGTGTTTTACAGCCTGAATGGCATTTCCATCATGGAGTCAGTTGTGCTAAGGTCTGAGGGCCTAAGGTCTGAGGGCCCTGTTACAATAGTAGTCATAATTTACAGTCTTGAATAATGAAGTGCTTCCTAGTACAACCCCCTTTATCTAGTTAAAAATTTCAACAATTGGGGCTGGAGAGGTGGCTGAGGGATTAAGAACACTGGCTGTTTTTCTAGAGGTCTTGAGTTCAATTCCCAGCACCCTCATGGTGGCTCACAAACATCTGTAATAGGATTTGATCTCCTTCTGGCATGTAGCTATACATGCCCAGCACTCATACATAAAATATGAATAAAATTTTTAAAAAATTTCAACAACTACAAATATTTATTAAGCACCTCATAGTACCAGGCACTGTCCAGGATAGAAACTCATTAAACGGAAGAAAAAGCACATGCCCTTGTGGGGTTTATTCAACAAAAGTGGCAGCGATAGTGAGTCATCTTTCCTAATACATTCTATTTATAGACACTGAAATGCAAATTTTGATTTTCCTGTCATAAACTTATTTTGATTTTTAAAACCATCGTTAAACATGAAAGACATTCTGAGGTCACTAACATACAAAAATGAGTGGTGTAGATACTGAGCATGCTCTGTAGTTTGCCGGCCTCTGGTTGAGCAACAGAATCCAATAGTAATACAATATAAACCACATACCATGATTTTAACTTTTCTAGCAGATTTAGATTTAGAAGCAAGGCCAATGTATTTCTCCTAATACAGCCAACATATTAACATAAGAACTTGCGGTTTTTGAGACAGGGTTTCATGTATCCCAAGTCTGTCTCAAACTTTCGATGTTGCCAAGGATAACCTTGAACTTCTGATCCTTCTGTTTCCACCTCCCTGATGCTGGTAGTGCGCCCTCTCCCTACCCACCCAGCTCATTAATGGAGACAGCAATCACTCTCTCAGGGAAAAGTCTGGAATGAGTTAAGGACCAGGAAATGAAGGGTTGGTTGGTTTGGTTGGTTTTGAGAAAACTGGAAAAGGAACATTCCTTTGTCACTTCTGTACCCATCTGCAGTCTGTGCTGTGTGTGTTTGGTCTCATGTGCTTTAAGAAACCTCAGGGATCCCTGCGCCGTGACCTGAGGCTGTCTCCAGGGGCCAGGAGACCCCATAGGAAAACAAAAAACACAGGTTGAGACTGTTCCTTATTTTGCAAAATGGATCCATCAAGTCTGATCATCCATTTACCCTTCCACTTCCCACCAAGTCAGTCCAGGAATATCACAGTTAAGTGGCTTGGAAGGGGTTAATTGGAACAGTCTAAAATACCTATTTCGATTTTGTTTTCAGATCTCAGCGTCTCAGTGAGGGAACTAACCCAGCGAATGGCACAGCGAAGCCTGTGAGTCAGTCACTGGGGCACGGGGCAGCCGGCAGTCACTTGGTTGTGCAGCGTTCTCTGCCCATGTTTCCCTTCTGCTCCCATTCAATGGATTTTATTATCAGCCACTTTCTTTTATTTAAGAATTTTTTTCATTTTACATACCAACCACTGTTTCCCTCCCCCACTTCTCCTGCTGCCCCCCCCTTCCCACCCACCTCCATTTACTCCTCATAGAGGGTAAGGCCTCCCTTAGGTAGTCCACACAGGCTGGCATACCAAGTTGGGGCCGGACCAAGCCCCTCCCGCCCGCATCAAAGCAGAATAAGGCATCCCACCACAGGGCATGGGCTCTAAAAAGCCAGTTCATGTACCCAGGATAGGTCCTGGTCCCATTGCCAGGGGCCCCACAAACAGATCAACCCACACAACTGTCACCCACATTCAGGGGGCCTAGTTTGGTCCCATGCAGGCTCCCCAGCTGTCAGTCCTGAGTCCGTCCGTGACTTCCCACTAGCTCCGGTCAGCTGTCTCTGTGGGTTTCCCCATCAAGGTCTTGACCCCCCACCTTGTTCCTATAATCCCTCCTCCCTCTCTTCAACTGAACTCCAGGAGCTTGGCCCAGTGCTTGGCTGTGGGTCTCTGCATCTGCTTCCATCAGTCACTGGATGAAGGTTCTATGATGACAGTTAGGGTAGTCCCCAATCTGACTACAGTTCAGGCACCCTCTCCACCATTGCTAGGAGTCTTAGCTGGGGACATCCTTGTGGGTTCCTGGGGACTTCCCTAGCACCAGGTTCCTCCCTAACCCCATAATGTATCGGCCACTTTTCAACCCTTTCGTTCTGAGAGTGAAATATAAGAAAAGTTTTTAAAACCATTTGGAGCTTAACCGAGATAAGCATTTGTGCAGGCACGAGCCCAGTGTTATCCTTGCTATCCAGAAGCATTGTTACTTTCAATGTTCAGCTTCATCCACCGGGGGTGAGACAGGTCAAGGGTAATTTTTTCTGGATGACAGTTATTCTCAGCACCACATATTAAAAGACTGCCCATTCAGCTGTGACTCTGGGGGGGACATTCATTCACTACTGTGTATTTGATATAAAATTACTCTAGAAATATACATTTTAAGTAAAAAAATGAAAGTCCCAAATTCCCCCTCTCACCCCATGCTACTGCTTCTTAGAGGTAATAGCTCATATAATTTGAGATGGGGGCATTTATTTCGTGTATACCTAAAACTTGCTTTTAAAAACTGTACCAAATTTGCCATACTGAAGTGGTCCATTTCCTATGATGCATTTGTCCACTGTTACAGGTTGGTCTACCCTGTCTGTCTTTAGGAGTGACCCGTGATCCTGCCAGATGCCTTGGCCCTTTGACAAAAACTGGGTGATTTTTAAATGAATTTAAGGAGCTACAAAAGGAATGAGTGTGAATCTATTTTGGACACGTTGATTCTCAGTGTCCAGAATTAGCTGTTGAGGCCTTATAGGACCCTGGACAGTCCCGTGACTCTGGGATAAGCCCTTTATAGCTCTGGCATGAGATGAACGTATGCTTCAGATTTCTTATAAAGAACGAACAAAATGTTGCATATGCCCCAAGAGAACCATTTGGCTCAGCAGCTGAAAGGATCCCTCTCTGGAAGCAGCTTTGAGTTCATTATTTTAGAGGTGAAAGGTGCGCTTGGAGTGCTTCCAAAGAATGATGTGATTAATTCAGAAAAGATCTTTACTGAGACTTGTATGGGAGCACGATGTGGTGAACACCTATAACTCATGGTCCTCTAATGGGATGGGAATTTGCCCATAAATAAGACAAATTGAGACTTTATGAGAGGCACAATTTTCTGCAGTCACTTAGAGCTGATTTTATGGGAGAGCTATTTGTATGTATATCCTCGAGCTTGCTATTTAGAGAGAATTGTTCGGTTTGATGAAATCGCTCTGAGCATGAACAATTCCCTCCTATTATGAAGTGTCTCGTTCTCAGCTTCTTTGTCGCATTCTTCCTCATGCTCTGTCTCTTCTCATCCCCTCCCTGACCCCACCAGGCCAGAGGCTGTGCCAGGAGAGGCAGTGAGTCTGCTGAATGGTGATCCAGGTTAGAATAGGGACAGGGTAAACAGTTCGCTCAGCATGGCCTAGACCACCTCAGGACCTACCCACCCAGCCACCACTGGGCTCCAGTTATGCCTGGTTAGGAAGCCCAGACGGGACAGGAAGGTCAAATACTTGTTTCTGCACACCGAAGCCATCAAACATCGATCCCGTTTGTTTGCACTAAGATAAATAGGTTTGGTTGTGCGGCTTCCAAAAGCAGCCAGTTCACATGGAGAGTTTCCCAGAGTTACCCTGGTCCCCTTCTGGAAAGAAGTGGCTGCTCCTGTGGCCTCTGCTATTCTTCCATCCGACGCGGGCAGAAGGGACGTTGAGCCTGTCATGGAAGAGAGATGCGGTGAGCACATTCCTACCCCTGTATAGGCTTCAGATCCAGTCGCTGTGACTCTGGTTGTCTTATTGTGCCCAGGCTAAAGAAATTAAGGAGACTAGAAGACATATCCTGAAGCAAGGCAGAGAGAAGACAGGATTGAAAGGCACTGAGAGATCTGAGATCCAGGCAGCAGCATCTCCATAGTATAATCGCCACCACAGAGAGCCAATGGCTACTGGACACTGGAAGCTGATTTTATCTTCCCTCTTACAGAGTGTGCGGTATTCTGTACCGCAGAGAAAGCAAACCAATGACTTGAGTTTTCAAAGGCAGTAGGACAGCAGGAGGTCTAGACATCACTTACTGGCTACTTCAGACAAATCATGAGATCTCTCTGAACCTCTAGAACACCCCACTGCCCCCCATTCCACCCAGTTCTAGAGTGAGTGGATCGACCTTGGAAGGCAAGGAAATCCAAACTTGCAAAACTCTTTATAAATCTATCACATGATATGTAAAAGAACAAGTCCCAGTCAGCAAATATTCTTACCCTTGGTGTGCCAGGCTTTGTTAGGGCACTGGGATGCAAAGACCAACACAGCTCTGCCCTTCTTAGTTATGGTGCCCTTGAGTGGTGGTTTCAATAGACTTTGTTTGGGATTTATAGAAAACTGAGGAAGTAGTCCAGATATTTTTGTATATCTTCTCACCCAATATATCAGTGAACCTACACTGATAGTTTAATTAATTTAATTCCATGGTTTACTCAGTTATTATGTCACCCCAGACTTCTCTTGGCATTGACAGATTCTCAAGATTTCTGAGTTTTTGATGTTCTTGACAATTTTGAGAAAGTATCAGTGAAACATTTTAGGAGCCTCTCTATTAGAATGTCTGATGTTTTTCTCACGGTTAGAACGGAACTATTGGGCTGTAGAGATAATTCAGTAGATAAAGCACTTTCAAGTCTGATGACACGAGCTGGGGTCTCTAGAACCCATATAAACTCAGGGTGGACACGGTAGACCACCTGTAATTCCAGAACTAGGCAGGCGAAGACAAGAGATCCCTGAGATGAGCAGGCTACCAGAATACCTGGGTTTACAAGCTCTGTGGTCAACTGGGAGACCCTACCCTAAAGAATCAAATAGAGAATGATATTCACATGCATGCTCACACACATGTGAACATGCATGTATACACATGCACACCATACCCTTGTATGCATCTCCAGAAGTATGATGGGCTATGAGTTTGAGGGTTTGGAAGACCATCACATATGGCCAGCGGAGGAAGCCTTGAGTGAATGTGTAAGGAGTGGATAAGTCCTGAGTGGGTGTGTACTATTGACAGGAACCATTGCCCCAGACCCATGGGAACGGACAAAGCCTTCCTCACGTCAGGATCAGAGAGCCGGCAAAGCCTTCGTCTGGTCTCTGTGGGAATATTGACAAAGTGTAAAGAAGGCATCCACTACAGCTTCCCCCTCCTGGATGTCTACGGCCTGAGACTGCTTCCCTGCAGAGACCCCTCACACCGACTAGCTAACCTTTCCCTCCCTGGCTGTACATAGTCAAGGCGCTGGGTTGTTGCATATAATTGGTCCCGCTCTATCAGAGTAAGCACGGCCCACTTGATCCCAGCTTCTCTGTACGTGCATCTGTGTGTTTGTCCTTTATTTTCTTGTCACCCAAGCTAGGTTTCCAGAACCAAGCTGTGCTAGACATGGTGATCACAAAGGTAAAGTGCCACATCATAGCAAGAACACACACCACCAGTATGACATCACTGCTAATGTTGACCTTGATCATCTGGTCCAAGGTGGTACTTGTGAGGCCTCTCTGCTGTAAAGTCCTCCCTCCAGACTTGCCATCGTCTTTGGAAGAGAGTTCTGTACACCTCATACTCAAAGACCGGCAGTTACGCTCCTGCTTAACAGGAGGCAGAGGGTCCACATAAATGACTTAAAACTGCTCTAAAGGAGATGTTTCTCTTCTTATCATGGACTTGTTCAATTATTTCTAGGCATTCATGGATATTAATTTTATTCTTTGGATTGTAAATCAACACTATTTTATGAAATCCTGTAACCATGTCTACTGGCAGCCCTTTCAGTCGGCTCCTTTCTGACTTCCCTCCATTGTTACAGGATTTTCTGGGTTTGAAGATGTTTCCTTCTTCTCTGGCTCCAGGCTCATCTTACACAGTTCCTGCCACAGTGCTCGAGTCAGTTGCTTCTCCAGGGAACTCTGGTTTTGCTTTTTTGTTTTTTTTTTCCTGTTGGGGGATGATATTAGAAACCAAGATCTGAGTGGTTGGTGTCCTTATTGCCACTGGGGTTGCTAGAGTTAATTTTAAAAAGTTGAGACAGGGTCTGAAGTAACCCAGGCTGGTCTTGAACCCACTACATAGCTGAAGATGACCTTGAACTACCGCTTCTCCTGCCTCTACTTCTCAAGGGCTGGAATGGCAGGTATGTGCCACCCCATCCACCTTTGCTGGGACTTTTTTTTTTTTTGGAGCTGAGGATTGAACCCAGGGCCTTGCACTTGCTAGGCAAGCGCTCTACCACTGAGCTAAATCCCCAACCCTTGCTGGGACTATTTTTAAGTGGTAATTTCTTCAGATTATGAAAGAAGTGCATGCTCATGATAGAAATATTAAGAAATATGCATAGAAAAAATTCATTTAACTAGTTCCACAGCCCACTATCCTAACAGTAGACTCTTTGCTTTTTCTCCTCCTTGGATTTACACAACCAGAGCTCAAGTAATGCACAGAGAGGATAAAAACAGAACTGCTTTTGTTCCATAAGACTTTATGAGGCAGTGATGGTATAAACTACACAGTCAGCCATTGTCCCAACGGTACTCAGCATCTGGAAGCTCTCCCTGGAACCACAAAAGCTAGGAAGTACATGGGACCTTAGGGGTTATCTGGCCCAGCCCCTCACTGTAAACACATTGGCTGCTGGGAAGTTGGGAGGTGGTACTTTATATAAGGGACTGTGGCTCACCCAAAGTCATACCATAAGTTAGTTACAGAATCTGGCCTGTACCCTGCCTGATTTATATTGTTTTCTCAGTGTTACTATGGATGTGGGTTAGTGCCTGCTAACACTGAAGAGAAATGGCTTTGGGATCGTCAGCCCAAGACTGTGTTCTAGTTCCACCACTACATTGCTGTGAGACACTGGGCAAGGTTCTTAACCTCTGGGCCTTCAATTCTTCATCCAGACAGTGATATTTACAGCTGTACGGTGTTTGCTATGCTCCAGACACTGTGATGAACACTTTGTATGCGTTCAGCTCATTGACTTTTCACAACTTTATGAAGCAGGTATTATACTTATGCAGATTTTGTAGTTGAGAAACCAACATACAGAAAGAGGAAAGAACTTTGAGAAACCAACATACAGAAAGAGGAAAGAACTTGTCAACAGCCTTATAACTGGAAAATAGAAAAGCCTGATTCTCCAATTACAGAGTCTGTGTTCCTAAACAACACATGAAATTTTGTTTTCTTTTTTTTTTTGAGACAGGGTTTCTTTGTGTAGCCTTGGCTGTCCTGGAACTCGCTCTGTAGACCAGGCTGGCCTCAAACTCACAGAGATCTGCCTTTCTCTGCCTCCAGAGTGCTGGGATTAAAGGCATGTGCCACCTCTGCTCAGCTGAAATTTGTTATCTTAACAATGCAGATTAAAATTGTTTCAACTGTCAATGATCACAGTGAAAATGAAATGGAACATACACTTAGACGGTTCCCACGACACATCACCTTTCAAATAGTGCCATCTGGCATCATTATTGCTCTGTCTGCTGCTCTTGAGTTCCCGTGACCCTCTCAGCACAGTACTCAGATCCTGAAGGACTCAATGTTTGATTCAGTCACTTCTCCAAGAGAGTAAAGAAATGAAATGCATGCCTGCAGGCTGTTGTGAAGAAACAAAAACACAAGAAATCACTTGAGGTAGTTAATATTTAGTTGTATGAAATGAAGCTACTTACTTTTTTTCAGAGCTGAGGACTGAACCTAGCAAGCGCTCTACCACTGAGCTAAATCCCCAACCCCGAAGCTACTTATTACCAGAGTTCTGACTGGGAGTATGGTCAGGTAATACTACACTGCCTAGCAGCATTCTTGTGGATTCTGCCTTGTACTCTTATATTCTAATAATTACCTGAGCTTTGTTTCTCCTGTCCATCCCTTCAAAACAGGAAGCCAAAAATTTTAAAATGTGTTCTACATGAAGAAGTAATACCATTTGTTTACTTCCTTCCTGTCCTGAATGAGAAAGCAGACCCTTGCTCATGACCCTCGGAGAAAGCTAGGAGGTCACAGAGTAAGATGTTGGGATTTAAGGTTTCAGGCTTGGACCAGAAACCTGCCTGCAAGGCCAAGGGAACGGTTTCTGAAATGAATAGGAAGAAAGTCCCGGGTGGAACCAAGGGACCAAACCGAAGGCAAAACTGGAATGACTGTTAACTAGTCCCAGCCTTGCAATTACACTTTTCTTTCTTTCTTTTTTTGGTTTTTCAAGACAGGGTTTCTCTGTGTAGCTTTGCGCCTTTCCTGGAAACTCACTTGGCAGTCCAGGCTGGCCTCGAACTCACAGAGATCCGCCTGCCTCTGCCTCCCGAGTGCTGGGATTAAAGGCGTGAGCCACCACCGCCCGGCCACTTTTCTTTCTTTTAAACAATTTCTATTTTGTTTTATGTGTAATGTTCCGCCTGTATGTAACGACTGTGTGTACCAGTTCGTGTCTGGTGCCCAGAAAGGCCAGAAGAGGGCGTCGGATCCTCTGGTACTGAAGTTACAGGCGATTGTGAGCTGCCACGTGGGGCTGAGAATCCAACCCTAGCGCTCTGGGAGGCCAGCCAGTGCTCCTAACCGCTGAGCCATGTCTCCAACCCAACCACATTTTTCTTGGGAGAATTCCAGACTCAAGGGCCTTGGTTCTCAACCTTCCTAATACTGCAGCCCTTTAATACAGTTTCTCACGTTGTGATGACCCCAATCATAAAATTATTTTTGTTGCTACTTCATAACTAATTTTGCTACTGTTGTGAGTCGTAAATATCTGTGTTTTCCAACGATCTTAGGCGACTCTAGTGAAAGGATCGGTCGACTCGCTCCAACGGGATCTCGACCCACAGGTTGAGAACCGCTGCTCTAGGGTCTTGCGTTCAAGTGGACCCTCTTCCTTACCTTACCCCCCAGAGCTCTGAGCAGCAACATTTCATAACTCCTAATTGTGACGAGTACGACTGTGTCCCAGCTGAACCGCAACTTAGCCTGGGAGCGGATCCTAGGCTTTTACTATGGTTAGCATCTGGCTCAGGCTCTGACGATTTTCGAAAAGTATAACAGTGGGAAAAGCAATGAGACTCAGTCCCAACGTTGAGACTGAAACACTTAAAAAGCAAGTCACCTAAAACCCGTTTCCTCGCGAACAGAACGGAAGAAAAAAAAAATCACACCGGTTTTGTATAACTTTGGTGTACGTGCAAGCTAAGAAGGGTGCTCCTCTAGCTTGTGAACAAGAAAGAGATGGGACACCAGCCCAATCTAGACATCCCCCTAAGGCACCAGCCGGGAGACAGCGAGTAAGCCTCCGGAACACCGAGTTCAGTGCCTAGAGGGGGTCGCTGACGTCACTTCCGCTCACGGTCTAAAAACCGCGCCTGCGCACTGCGTCTCTTCCTCTCCGGCTTGGGCTTCGGTTCCGGCGGCATGGTGAGTGTCGGCGTTACCGCTTTGGAAGTCGCTATCCGTCTGCATCTGCCGGTCTGTCCGGTTTTCCGCCCTCACCCGCTTTCGGGCAGCCTGTGCTGTCCCGTGTCCCGCCGGCTGTCGGGGTCCTCGCCGCGTCTGGAGCCCCGGAGGTGGCCGGTGGCGGCTCGGCGGGGCTTGGCCCAGCTCCGCGGGTTATGCTCCGCTCCGGAGCCCCGCTCGCCCCGCGGACGCTGCTGGCCTTGCGGGTTGAGCTCGGGAAGCACTAGGCCCCAGTCGAATTGGTGCGCAGCGGTGTGTGTGTGTGCACGGACTCCCTTCCATCGCTCAATGTCGCTGTCATGTCCTCTGCCCGCAGGCTAAACGCACCAAGAAGGTCGGGATCGTCGGGAAATACGGGACCCGCTATGGTGCCTCCCTCCGGAAAATGGTGAAGAAAATTGAAATCAGCCAGCACGCCAAGTACACCTGCTCCTTCTGTGGCAAGGTGAGTTGGCCGCGGGGAGGGGACCTCAGGTGCTTTGTAAGCGGTGGGCCAGGGTTAAGATAATGAGTGAGGATTTGGGGGCTAATGTTTGCGAAGCATTCCTCGTTTGTGTGAAATCCCTGAGGACATGAAGGATAACTGGTTTTGGGGAGGGAAAGGATGGAATCCTGAACGACTCTATTTGGGGGAAATGATTGTACTGTTAATGCTTCTATACCAATCCCCCCAAGAGTTGGTCTGCATCTAATATCCTGCTTGGATGATTATAATTTGCCTGCTTACCAGATAGATAAGCTGCCTTTTTAACCTAGTCTAGGCTCTGAGATCTTGATTTATGTTTTCACATGTTTCATATCAAAACTTTTAAAAAATGTTTGTAGACCAAGATGAAGAGACGAGCCGTTGGCATCTGGCACTGTGGTTCCTGCATGAAAACAGTGGCTGGTGGAGCCTGGACCTACAAGTGAGTGCAGTTTTTTGTGCTATGGGGAAGTTTATGGAGCGCACAGCCCATGTTCCAGGTCTGGCACATATTGGGCTAGTTTTAATCTTTATGACTGGAAAAGTAAATATGCTTTAGGATTTCTTAAAAGTAGGGTTTTCTTTCGGTTAAAATTGAGATAGAAAACTATTTGAAATAAAAGTTGGGATTTGATTCTTCTATTACTTTGAATTATTCAGTTACTGGGGTCTTTTGAAAATTATGGTCTCTTTATGTAGCCCTGGCTGTTCTGGAACTTACTATGTAGACCAGACTGGTCTCTGCCTCCCAAGTGCTGGGATTAAAGGCGACAAGTTATTTCTATAAAATAGTTTTTAAATGAGGTTAGTTGGTTTGGGATTGTGTAGAAAAATTTGTGAGGCTATTTGGGCTTCCACGCCCTTGTCCTTTTAACAAGCTTTAGTGCTGTGACAGGGCCGGATGGTGTTGCTGAGGTGAGCCCTCCTTTCTGTCATTGTTTGCTTTGTCCTTAGAGCTTGGCATCTGAGAATTAAAGGCACCTTGGGGGCCTGTAGCTGTTTGCTGGCCCTGAGGTCCTTAGGGTCCCTGCATACTGTTCCTGTGGTGTGTGGCTAGTTGTTGAATTGTATGGTTTCAGTTTTTACTGAAGTCTTGGTGTTGAAATGATAGTGTGGATGTGTTTAAGTATCTTGAGTTTTAGGATAGCAGAAGGAAGGATGGAAGCCAGAGTGCTCTCCTGACAGGTGAACCTGTGAACAGCCAGACCAGACAAGCTGTGGTCTGGCTGTTTGACTGGCATGTGTCCTGAAACTTGTCATCCGCCTTTGCTATGGAAAGTACCTTCAGATATTTTTTATTTATCTCATGGAGTCTGGGTCAGCTTCTTTTTAAATGGTAGAGAAATCAGAAGAACCTTAGAATTCTGCGAGTGCCATCATGCCAGTGTGACTTTCTGAGCAATGGTCTTTAGTGGATTTGTGCAGCGTGGTATTGGGGAAGGAAGGAGACCATCGTAGAATTCTTACCAGGAAAAGGTCAGACTTGAGGATTGCAGGGGAACCCTGAGAGGCAGGTTGGCTTAGGTTTCCTGTGTTAACATCCTTAATTGTGTTGGAAACTTTCTTAACAGCACGACTTCTGCTGTCACAGTGAAGTCCGCCATCAGAAGACTGAAGGAACTGAAAGACCAGTAGAAGCATACCGTCTGAGACCTGCCTGTGCTCTAATAAATGGGTTAATTTACGTAACACTTTTTCCTTGTTTGTGGTTAATTATAACATTTTGGCATATGCTACGTGTTTTTTTGTTTGTTTGTTTGTTTCTTTTCCGTTTAAAAGGAGATTTTTGCTGTTTGGAGACACTATGTGACCCTGGCTGGCTTTGAATGCTTGGTCCTCCTCCTTTCATCTCCTAAGTGCAAGTGTATGCTGTTAGATCTGACTCAAGATGTTGCTGAAGTTGTAATGCGCACTCGACAGTTTTGCGCATAGCCCGCTCCTTTGGGAGTCCGATTTGACTGCACATCAGCAGCAAACTGAAGCAACTAGGATTTGGCAGATTTCCGGTTCACGCAAAGGATTCATAGGATTGAATTGATTGTGATGTGCATACTTAGAGGAAACAAGTGATAGTACATAGGTAAGTAACAAAAGTGAATTATAGTTATGACGTAGCAACAACATAATTGTGTTGTTGGGGGTCACCACTATAAAAGAAACTAGTAAAGGGCCGAAGCACCAGGAAGGTCGAGAACCACTGATCTAAGGTTTCTACAGTCTCCTGCTGCCTATACTCTAGTCCTACCCAGGCACAGCCTCAGCATTCTCAGGTGGGTTCAGCCTTTATAGACCTACAGCCGTAACAGCTTCAAATTTCAAGTCACTCCACTCACTGGGGTGTCCCCAGTTAGCGTAACTGCCTCCACTTGAGGAATGAGCAGTTTTTCGTTGAGCTTGAGCATGAGAAATTACATGGTTTTTAAGACTATTTCTGTGCATGTGTATCTGTGTCACCACTGTGTACCTGGTTCCTAAAGAGAACACCAGATCCCCTGGAACAAGGTGTGTGCTGCCATGTGGGTGCTGGGAATCAAACCTGGGTCCTCTGGAAGAATACCCAGTGCTCCTAACTGCCGAGCCATTTTTCTAGCCCCCAAGAAATCTAATTTGTCAGTGAGGAAGCAGGGTTTGAATTTGGGTCTTGGCCCCAGAGCCAGGATTCATATTTTAATTGCTTTTGTGACAGTTGAGCGTATAGCAATGGCTAGTGATACCAGTTAAAGGTTGAAGCATAGTGTTTGGTGGCTAAGGAAATAGAAGCCACGAGTTAGCAGGCGGTGGAGTGAGGCTGGAAGTTAGATTCCTGCTTTCTCAGTTCTCTTAGGTCACCTTTTACCCTGCCCCTTCCTGTGCTCAGGATTTCCACTTGACTAGTTTTAATCACTAGGTTTTCTGAGCCTTTGGTCTTTTAACTGAGCATTACCAGAGCTTGCTTGCTTTCTACTTTTTCTTTTCTTTTTTTGGAGGGGGGCGGCGGTTCTGTGTGTGACAGCCCTAGCTGTCCTGTAACTCACTTTGTAAACCAGGCTGGCCTTAAACTCAGATCTGCCTGCCTCTACCTCCTGGGTGCTGAGATTAAACTTGTCTGCCACCACTGCCTGGCCTTGCAGGGAAATTTTATGTGGCTCTGGGTGTGAAATATTTACTGATAATTGTAGTTTTACCATTTACAAAGAGTAGAAGTGAATGAGATGTTTGTTTCACATAAAGAGTTAAATCTTGGTCAGATTAGACAGTGGGTGGAGGCGCTTGCTGTGAAGCCTGCAACCTTGAGTTTGATCCCTGAGACCCTGAGACATGGTAGGTTAGAGAATTGACCTCCTGTAGAAGTTACGTACACTCACGAACACGTGAGTTTAAGATCTTGGAGCCAGGCAGTGGTGGCGCACGCCTTTAATCCCAGCACTTGGGAGGCAGAGCCAGGCGGACCTGTGAGTTCAAGGTCAGCCTGGGCTACAGAGTGAGTTCCAGGAAAGGCGCAAAGCTACACAGAGAAACCCTGTCTTGAAAAACAAAAAAAAAAAGATCTTGGTTGGATGTTTGATATATCCATGTAGATGTAGAACACCGTTCAGAAGTGGTGTTTTGACTTTATAATTGGCAGTGCTGAGAATGTCAAAATGACAGAAATGGGCCCATTTGGGAAATGCCCTAAATACAACCCAAAGTTCATTTAAATTTTTTTTTAAAGATGTATTTATTATGTATACAGTGTTCTGTGTGCACGCCAGAAGAGGGCGCCAGATCTCATTACAGATGGTTGTGAGCCACCATGTGGTTGCTGGGAATTGAACTCAGGACCTCTGGAAGAGCAGTCAGTACTCTTAACCTCTGAGCCATCTCTCCAGCCCCTCATTTAATTTTTTTAAAATGAAACTTAAGCCAACTACTCAACAGTTTTTAAATTCAAACATTCTAGTATGTATAATGAATCCGAAGATAAGTTAGTTTGATAGATATTAAGGAATGTTAGAAAATTAGTAAAGTCCTTGTTTTCTGTGGTTAAGACATCTTTCTGTGAAAGCCTTGAATCTGAGGTGTACAGTTACAGGGTTGTGTGTGGCGAATCACATCAGTGTAAAGGATGTGTTGGGAGCTAAGCTGCAGTGAGGTGAAGTGCTGATACAACCCAGCAGGCACTACCAGAAACACCTTGGGATCATTACATTGACTTTAAGACTTCAATTTCCATGATTTTACCATTCAAGACTTGTGAACTTTTCATGGCTCCCCTATTCAGTTCTGAAACGCTATGTGGGGTAA